AAATGGTTTCAACTCAACACCAACAACACATTTATATTTCTGTCAATGTTCAAAACATTTATATGTCTTGTGAAGCAAAACATGCTGAAAACTATGAAGTCTACAAGCAATCCACATTTAATTACAATCATAAAGATATATACGCTCATAGTGATAAACAAGACAATAATTGTCAAATAATAGAAGTGCCTAATCAAGGTAAATTATATGGCAACTCAACCACTTTATGTGAATCCGACTTGTCATCGCTGACTAATCTTTTTGTTATTAAATTATAGTAGAATTTAACGCTAATCCTAGTGAAAGTAGAAGATCCCAATTTGACCAAAGTTGTAAAGAAGCTAAAATAACAAGAAAAAATAAAGCACCACCATGTAAATGGAAGGAAGAAGCCATAATATATTTACTAGCCTACTTGAAAGCAAATAAAGAAAAGGTTCTACGGCTGGAAAGTCGTGGTTCTATAGCTGGTGAAGTTAGATTGGATCTATGGAACGGTGCTTCTGCTATACTACGCGAAAATAAATTTACTTATGCTGCTGATCAATGTGCGGTTAAATGGAAAAATATTAAGCAGAACTACAATGTAAATATTTGTTCTCTTCTATTTTGATAAATTTATATTCACATTTTAATAAATTGAAATTTTTTTTTTAATTTTAAAATGATTCAAAATTTCGATATAAGTCAGAAGTTGAAGAAATTCTTAGTAAAGATAGGCCAAAGTTAGCTCCAAAAGTTTCTAACGAAATACCTTGTCATAATAAACGAAAGATGAGTTCTGGATTGTCAGAAGATGTATTAAAAAAATTCAAAATGGAGAGTAATTTTACATCGCTTGGAAAGGACAATTACAGAACATAAGATTATTAGATAATTTAATATATTTAATCATTAATAAATTAAATTTTTATTATAAATTCAACTACACAATTTTCAAAGCATTTAAGACGAATTAATTATTTCTTTATGTATGATATTATAAGGATTATCCAATAATAAATATTGACACATATTTTTATTTAATTATTTAAAAAATTTAATAGCAAGTTAAATGAAATAATATAATAAGAATTTTTGAGAAAATATCACATTCATTTACGTTTCTTGTAATAAATCAGAAATCCGTTCATGGTTAGCGATATTTACAAAATATCATTGTCGGAGTATACTTGAACTATATCTCATCCCAGCTTCTGAAGATACTGTTCCCCAAATACTTTAGAATTTATCAAACTTATTCTTGAAAACTGGATAACAAACTTTAAAATTTACGGTAAGCCAAAAAATTAATTTAACGTTAATACATACATTCGGATAGTTATTAAAACCATATGCGATTTATGCTTCGTCGCTTCAAATTTTGAATTTTGTTTAGTTTCCAATTTCATATTCATATGAAATTGAGCAATAAAAAAAAAATCTAATTCCGTTAATTGATTCTCTAAGTTAAATATATAAATATAAAAAAAAAAAAAAAATGAA